AGGAGGAATTTTTGAAAACCTTGAGTTCAACTCCCCACTGTGGAGAAAGACCCATCCAATCCCTTTGACAAATAACTCCCACTCTTTATGCATGTTTTTCTCAAACTGACCCAGGGCAGAGGCAGAATTCACTGCCTGCCTCTTGCCTACTTCAGTCTTCTCCACTCCCTCACCTGTAAAATAAGCAACGGTGGCTACGTTCTAGCTTCTCTTTCTTCTGCTTTCTGGTTTCTGGTTCTCTTTCTAGGGCAGACTTTGGATAGTGTATCGGTCCTGAGTGCAGTCTGGGCATGGGAGACTCATAAAGTGAAGTTGCTTGCAAGGAAACTAGAAGCCTAAGACAAAGTGATTGCCCCGGGTGAGATCAGGTTAAGAAGGACGTGAGAGTATCAGTGTGGCCCGAGCAGAAATGGACGGCACGCTCAGACTGCATCTTTGGGAGGATGGAGGTGGGGATGCTGTGCCAGGTGCTATGGCAGGGTATAGCCAGCCCAGGGAAGCTCTTCAGGGAGGGCGTCTGACACATCAGCACCCTAAGCTTACTCTCCCTCTCTTGAGTTTCTTGCAGGGACTTCCTATTGGTCACATCCAGAGAGATGCCAGACAGCAAGGGGGCTCCCTTGATGCAGTCAGTCCCCTCCAGGACAAAGGCAGGAGATGGGGGGAGAGGGGTGGACTTGGAGGCTGCACAGCTCAAAAATGGAGAGGCATGGAAGTCTGGAGAAGTCCTACAACTTTGACCCAACTGCTGCCTCCCTGCAGCATCTCACCTATCCGTCACAGGGCCTGTTGGTGTGAGAGGGAAAGGGTGGGACACGTGGGAACTGAGTTCTCTCTCTTGCTGTGCCCATTGCACAGATGAGCCCAACATTATGCTGCCTTCCATGGGACAAGGCAGCAATTTCCGGCAGGAAGCTCTCTCCTGACAACACACTGAACCATGCACTAACAGATGTCTCAGACTCAGGAAAGCACAGAAGCACATTTTGCAGGAATGTTGATGGCATGTTCTCCTCACTGGACTAAAAGAGTAACAGCAACTCATGAAATCCCATCTGGTTATGGTGCACGTACCAGAAAACACGGTGATGTCTTCCATCATTCGGCTTTAGTGGAGGCTGTTTTCAAATGGAAGCAATCTGTCTTTCTCATGTCTGGGAAGAGTGGTTATTAACTATGGAGAAATTGTCTCCAACAGTAGGTCAATTAATTACTGCATTTTAAAGCCGCGTCTTGAAAAACAGCAATTAATTTCACTGCGTTTCTGGGTATTTCCTCTCCAAACCATATCCATTTCAAATCACTGTAATTCCGGGTAGATATGGAGACTTGATTATTTATGAGGCTTTACAGGAGATCATATTTCTTTTTTTTTTCTCTTTAATGAATGCAGGGATAGAATTAGGTTTTAATTATCACTGGCACCTTTTCACTATTGGAAGTAGACTTAAGAAGACAGAAAATGGGAAGAATTCATACTGAAAGGAGAGTTGATAAATACTCAGAAAGACTATTTATCCAAACACATCTTAAGTGAAAATGCTGTCTGATATGAAAAATAGAATCCAAACACAGCATGGGGTATTTCTGTTTACTGATTAATATTCTTTGCACTTTCCTTGTCTAATGGGTTAGCTCTTCTGTCAGATCTTTCTTTCTGGGAGAGAAGAATCCAAGGGACTGTTCTCACCTGTTCCTAAACCTTTTAACTTGCCTTCAGCTGCATTATCTTTGACCGATTGGACCCTGCTGCCCTCCTATTTGGTTTCTCAAAAAGCTACAGAGAACTTGACTGGCTTTTGTCCAAAGGGCGGTGAGCAATAATTTTTCATTGCCGTATATCATCTGGCTGCGGGAAGTGGCCAGATCTGGGTGGAGAGACAGAAGTTGGGCATTTCATGCTGACCTTGCCTGACCTTCCAGGGGATGTCTACTTTCAAGCCATTCTTCGAGGTAGAAGCCAAGGTTTCTCAACCTCAGCATTTTTAACCTTTTGGGCTGGAGAATCATTTGTGCATCGTAGGATGTTCAGCAGCATCCATGGCCTCTACTCACTAGTTGCCAGTAACACCTCTCCCCTCGGCTGTGATGATCAAAAATGTCTCTAGGCATTGCTCAGTGTCCCCCGGGGGTCAAACTCATCCCTAATTGAGAACCTCGAGTATAAAGCCAACTATTTATGGTTATGGGGAGAGATGATAGATAGACTAGATACATATACATGAGCATACCTATTTATAGGTCAGTAATGTGAGGGTGGTGGTTTTTGGAAAGGCTGTGTATTAATCAGGTTCTGTTTCTCCAGAGAAAGTGAACCAATAGGATATAGAGAGCCAGACAGAGATATGCCTATAGATACAGCTGTATCAAAAGGGATTTATTATAGGCTATTGGCTTGTTCAGTCATGGGGCTTGAGAAGTTCCGCAATCTGCTGTCTGCAAGCTGGAGAAGCAGGAAAGCTGGTGGTGCAAGTCAGCCCGAGAACAAAGGCCTGAAAACCAGGAGTAGCAGTGGTGTCAGATGCAAGGAGGAGACAGATGTTCCAGCTCCAGGAGAGCCACTTCTCTCTTTCTCCACCTTTTTGTTCTGTTCAGGCCCCCGACAGCAAATGATGCCCACCCCAGCCTGTGAGGGCAGATGCTCTTTACTCAGCCTGCAGGTTCAAGTGCTAATCTCTTTTGGAGACACCCTCCCAGACACACCCAGAAGTAATGTTTTACCAGCTGTCTGGGCATCCCTTAGCCCCATCAAGTTGACACACACAGTGACCCATCGCACTTTGTGCTGTGTCTTCAGGCACATCTGGGTTTCAGTCCAGGCTTTGTCAAAAGCAAGCTCTGGGATCCTTTCTCATCTCTAGAGCCTAACCACGTGGACCCCATAAGGTTTTGGCGAAGAATCAATGAGTGGATGTTTGCAAAGTGCTTGTTACTGAGCCCAGATACGGCAGGGGCTGCAGGAAAGTTACTTCCTCCCCACAACCAGTAACTGTACTGGAAACAGAAGAGTCATTCCGCTCTTTGACGGACATTTCTACCCTCTTTGCTCTGTGTGTTAGCTGGAAGACATGTCTGTCTCTGTTTCATGCCATATAATAGTGTATCACTTCACATGAAGTTGGCTTTCATTACGAAGGAAGTGGATAAATGATATACAAACACTTGCTCATTGTAAAGTTTCGAACAGCACAGATAAAACTTGAGTCTCCCTTGACCTTTTACCCCAAAGGCCACCCCAGAGGCAACTACGGGCGTCAGATGGTGTTTCCTTCCAGACTTGTAGTCACGCTTTTATATCATTATCAGTTTATGTGCGTAAACATACATCCTTTTATCTTGTACGTAGTGATCGGTTACCTTTTTACAGCATATGTTGTCAGTATGTACAGACCTGACAGAGACTATTTAAGTATTTATTTATTTTTTTGACGTGTATTTGATATATAGTATTAATAAGTTGCAGGTGTAAAATAAAGTGATTCACAATTTTTTAAGGTTATACTCCATTTATAGTTACTATAAAATACTGACTCTATTCCCTGTGTTATACAGTGTTTCCTTGTGGCTTAATTTATACAGAAGAGCTTGTACCTCTTGGTGTAGGGCCTTTGGATGTTTCAGACTTGGGGCTGGCACACACAGCGCTGCTGTGAACAGACTTACATCTCACTGGGCGGTTGTCTACAGTAGATACCAAAAAGTGGAATTGCTGAGGCAGAGAGAGTATGCGAATTTTAAATTTTAGTAGAAAAGGCCAGATTGCCCACCAAAGGGGCGGGACCGTTTTATGCAATCAGCATTCAGTAGCACCAAGTCTCTTCTTTTTTGCCAATC